TTACCAAAGCCTACAACATGGAGGCAGGGAAGATGAAAAGGCAAATTTGTTCTTATGTGCAACAGCTCAGAACTTATGCTGGTCAGAGATACATTTTTGTAGCTTTATATAATTTATATGTAAAATAGTGGAAACAAGATCCTCCCCAAAACAAAGATCACCTATATAATATTTTATTTCACTGGTCATATATACATTTAGAATGTCAAAAGTTGTTAATAGCATTTCTAGGTCACCATTCTGTTTGAAAATCCCGAGCATCAGGTATTTTTATCTAAATGTTTAAAGGAATGTAGACCAATTGTCAACGACCATGTCCATGTGTTAGAACTAATCTAATCTTGAGGCAATCATGTTCTTCATGGGCAAAGTCTATGACATAGAGACAGGGAAAATGAAAAGACCAAATTGCAGTCTTATGCAACATACAACTCACTGTAGTCAGGAAGATCTAAAAACAGTTTTATATAATTCATATATTAAACAATACATTTCAAATCAGCAATCTACAACTTGGTTGTCTTTAAACTATTGGGATTTCTGCCTGGATATTACGGATTAATCTACAAATACAAATATTTCCCTGTGGAGAAGGTTGATCTGCAAACATAAATAATTGATAATGTAAGGGCTCTTTCAAGAAAGATTTATTAAAAATGGGGACAATTGTTAGCAGTATTAGAAGTTTTCCTTTGGAATTACACTGAATTCATTTAAGCTTTTAGTCCCTTTAGAATTAAATCAACCACATTGCTTGATTAAAATATGCTTGAGAAAGTCATTCTTAAATACCTAAAATATTTCAACAGGTCCTCTACAATGTTGTACACATAATTACAAAAGGAGCAATATATATTAATATATAGTGTACGTTAATATATGTATTGGATCTATTGTCCTTTGGGATCATTTTGACTTTTGCTGATCATAGTTTTCAAATATATTAATTTGGTTATTCTTTATTTGTATTTGTTAAATACAAAATGCACTTTTTTTCTGCAATATTTCACTTGTTTATATCCCCATAAACAATCCTGCAAGAGAGGCAGGCGGAGACAGATTGACTGGCTCAGAGGTTCCCAGTGAGCTTTCATGACAGAAGTAATCTAGAATCTGGTCTCTCCAGTTCACCTAATTACTACACTCCAATGGCTCTCTAAAGAAGAGTAAATAGGTATACTTAGCAGACCCATGGCAAGGCTCCCAAGTAGTCAACCCATTTAGATTTTCGCTTGTTTAGCAAGGAAGAAATTACTGAATTGCTGCCATGAGTTAGACACAAGTATATGAATATTGATGAGCAACTAAACTCTAATCATCTGCTGATAGTATCCTCAACAGAAGGCAAGATCATTTCTTCTGTTTCCTAATGATCATGAACAGCTGAGAATATTGACTGAATTTATGTTCAAAATCTATTGTATCTTTTACATCAAGACTTCCAGCTGTTGATGTATGATCAGGATGCCCTTTCAAATAAAAAATAATTTTAAAATCACACCTATATTTTTAAAACAGACCAGAGAATCTAAAATATTCACCCAGCCAAACAAAATTTCTCAGCTGTATTGTAGGAAGAGGATTTTTTTTTATCCCCAATAGTGTATATACATGAGCCTTGAAAATTGCAGGAACTTTTTCAGGCAATTTTTTAAAAAATTGGACACGATTGAATGGAAGAAAAAAATGTAGAAATAATAATGTTAGGATAAAGAGGTTACTATTTAATTACAAACTTGTTGCTCTTCCTAACATTTAAAAATCAAATCATCTTTCCAGTTTACCTAATCAGCAAGATTTATAAAGGCATTTTTTTTCTCCTAAAAAGATAAGGAAATACAGTGGGTTTGTATGCATTTTTAAACCCAGTTTTCTGGGTTTTGTAGAAGAAGCAAATCAGAATTAATTTAGATTATTCCTGATATGTGGGCAATATCTGATTCTGCATTATATACTAAAAAACTTTCAAAAAATAAAGACAAATGTATGCTCATTCTTAATTCATAAATGAATATTTCTGTCGCTTATGTAAACTTTGTATAGATGGTTAGAACATATTTAATTTAGTAATAGCCAAATAATTGATATTATTATAATTCAATACATTAGTTAATATATTTTCTCTTATAACACATATGAAAGGTATCATTCATGTCTATCAAATGCAGATATACACTTAACCTTAATCTGAGGTATCACTCCACTCTAATATATAATTGATTTGACATCTATAACAAATTATTTAATTTTTAGTAGCAAATTAAAAATATTGTTAAGTGCTAAGAGTTTCTTTATGAATGAAAGATGAGGAGAGCATCCTTCAAATACAGAAGGAAAAATAATATTATGGGATAATAAATCATTTGGAATCATAGGCTCAAAAAAATTTAATTCTTTTGCCTGGAAACAGCATTACCTAACTAGGTAATACATCAGTGCTAGTGAGTGTGGGGTTTCTCTCTCTCTTTGTTTATAATGGCTTACCTTGCTAGTTTTAGTGAGAGTGTTTCTCTTGGTAGTTCCTTGATTAGGGCAGGGGTCTCAATACCTGGGCCGTGGCTTGTTCGAAACCAGGCTATAGGAGAGATGGGTGTGTGCCTGCATGAAGCTCCATTTACACAAGTGGCAGACAAGTGCACATGCACATGAAGCTCCACTCATGCAAGCGGAGAACACATGTGCTGGTACATAAAGCTCTACTTGTGCGAATGGAATTTCGTGTGTGAGTGCCCTCTGCTTACACAAGTAGAGCTTCACTCAAGAGCACAAGCATCCTTTAGTTGTGTGCGAAGCTCCACTTGCACACAAATGGAGCTGTGCATGCACATGTGCACCTGCCACTCACATGCCCTACCCTGTACCAAGATAGAAAATTGGGGACCGCTGGATTAGTGTATTATTTTCTGCTTAATTATTTGTCTAGTGTTAATTCCTGCTTATCTAATTATAGCCTGATGGAGAGGATGTGTTCTGATCTTTTTGTTTCCACCTTAGCTTTTTGTTGACTCTTTTAAATGGTATGCAAATATGGTTTGTTTCTATATTTATTGATGCATGGTTTGTCTGAATGACAAGCTTCCAGAAATTTCCTAATGGTTTTGGATTTAGCATTTGTATAGGATGCACACTATTTCTGAGTTGAAACTATGATTAAGTCCGTTCATGTGTCATGATATTGACTTTTTACATTGTCTTCTGATTGCTAGTTAGTGTTCATAGGTGCATCTGCTAGTCTTCTGTCTGTCTGACTTACATAGTAGTTGTTACAATCCTTATAATCTATATTATAGATGACTCATTTTTTGTCTTTTTGGGCTACTGGGTATTTTGGTTAAGCTAAAATGTTTTGGAGGGCTTTATTTAGTTTGTGTGTTATGGTAATATCTATGGTTGTAATACTTTATTGGTTGTTTCTGAGGTATTTTTGTTGTATATAATAATAATAATAATAGTAAAGTTGGAAGGGACCTTGGAGGTCATCTAGTCTAACAGAGTTGGAAGAGATCTTGAAGGTTTTCTAGTCCGATCCCTTGCTCAAGCAGGAAACCCTATACCATTTCAGACAAATGGTTGTCTTATCTCTTTTTTAAAAATCTTGGGAGTACCTACAACTTCTGGAGGCAGTATATAAGCCTGACATACCTCTCTGTTCAATTGTATCATTACCATTACTTTGATAATGGAGCACTTGATTAATGTAGGTTGCTTTTTTACGTTTCTAACTTGCCATCAGGAAAGATATGGCAAATGAGACCAGGATTTCATCCTCATCTATTGTCCAATCTTTGATTCTTTGAAGGCCCTCTAGTAGAGAGTTGATGGACTGTTTGCTTCTTACTGTGAGGCACCCAAGCTTTTTTGTTAATTGTTTTTTCTTATATTGTATGTAGGAGTCTCTGGTAATGATACAATTGGACAGATGGTATGTCAGGCTTATATGTTTTGGGGCTTCTATAGAAGCAGGGGAGGATGGATCCACTGCTTCTACATCTGTATAAATGTGGGTGGGTGGATCCTAGATCAAGCCAAATCCAAAAACACTAGAGAATTACTGGAAGCCTGGCACTCTGACAAATTGGTCATCAATAGACATAAACAACTTCTATATACTAGGCAAAAGAGACAGTCAACAAGCCAAGAAGGGAACAAAAACACCAAAACCTCCCTACCAGCAATCAACATCTAAATGAACATGAATTTATACCAAGACCAACAATCAAGAAGTAAACAATACCCCAATCAAGGAACTGTCAAATGTCCTTCCAGTAAACAGCCCAACTAAAGAATTTTCAAGAATTGAATGGGCATGCCATTAGAATATAAATTGAGAGCAAACCCCACTTCTTAGTACCACTGAAGATGTTACAACCAAACTTAGAGACCATCAAAGACCCCTCAAACCTATTATTGACTGATGACTAAATCTCCTATGAAGAGAATAGGCAGGGGGCAGCCAAGAATCAAGAAGTCTGGGTTTTGAAGGAAAGCTGTGGTTTCTGAAGTAGAGTAACAAGCAGAAAGGTAGTCCCAAAGGTGCTTTTCCAAAAGGCAATTGGTTCCAGTTACCTCTTGAAAAAGCACTTTTGGAACAACATGATCTGGATGACTGAGAATCTCCACAGACATTAAGCAGAAAAACAATGGATATTTGGCCAGATATTTCCACAGAATTATTATAGAGATAATATACATAATATAAAGAGAAATTATGTTCACAGTGGTTAGCTATCATTTGTTTGTACTGTATTGAATATAGGCAATATATATGTTCATGTTCAATTTCAAATCTGCTCAAAGAAGCTAGCAATGTGGCTGATGAAACATCAAAAGTTTATTCATTGCCTTAAATGGCATTGGTTGAAAATAACTTTACCATAGGAGGTTCCTTCAAATATTATTTCCATTTACCTTTCCAGTAAAATCTCCCATTATAATTAATAATGGATTCTATATACTATTTATAGTTTCACTAACTTTCCTACAACTGTCTCCTTCGGCAGGACAGCCATTCAAAAATTGGGAGCAGAAATTTTTGAAAAAGTATATGAATTCCTCCAACAAGCAAGACAAAGGAATGCAAGTGAAGATGAAGTTAAAGAATACCTTGGAAAATTGGTATCTCGGGCAAGTGACTGCTTTGAGGTAGATCAGCTTCTTTATTTTGAAGACCAGCTACAAGTCTCAGAAGATATTTTGGTGAGATAGTGTATCTGAGAATGAATTTTCTTGTATTATCTGAAACCACTAGATTCAGTAGTTTTAATTAGAAATAAATGCATTGTATGATTAATGAATAACATAGAAATACTCTTTGGAAAAAGTGATGCTATAGAATTACGTTTTTATATAAAATCAAAAACATTCTCTAAGTTCAAATGAAGTTGGTGAGAACTTACAAATTTCTATACAACCAGTGTTGATATTTAGTTCTTATTATTTTTTTTTCTTTAACAATTCCTACATTATTTTTTATTTTATTTTGCATGGCTGATTCCTTCAAATGAAGAAATAGCATTCAGTAATCTGAGTTTTGGCTGTGTTTCTATAAGGGAGCAGTACAGGAAGTGGAAGGATGGAGGAAAAATAAAACATTTTATAATTTTCATCATGCAAAGTGAGTGAACAGTTCGATTAATTGCAATTAATTGGATTTCAGTTGTTATATACCTAGCAAACATTTTCACTGTGGAAAAAGGGCTTTGAGAGTGAGGATAATTTTTTTCCTACTCCCACGACTTTGCAGCCTATCTGCCTTTCTGCTGCTTACAATGCAAATAAATAAAGTTCCTTGTATTGATGATCTTTCCTTGTACTGATGTCTTCAAACAAACAAATCATACCTAAATATGTGAAGAAATTACATTAAGTGTCTTCAGTCAAGGTTAACCCCTGGTAATTTCATGAACATAGCCATATATATCCTTCTAGGCAATGTTTTAGAAATGGTTAGCTATTGTTTTCTTCTTGGTCTAGCCTACAACCTTATATTCCCTGATAGTCTCTCATCCACTTTCTGTGTAGATCCAACTCTGCTTAACTTTCAAGCCCAAATAAGGTTAGCCAGGATGTGCAAGCTGCTGAGGCATGTAGAAAAAAGAAAACTAATTTAGAATGACAGCATGTCTTGAATAGGTATTTCTTACAATCTAAAGTAGTTTTGTTCATCACACAGCCAAACTGTGGATAGTTTTTAAATAAGTACATGAATATTACTTTTTTCACAATTAATACATAGCAATGCTCAGCCTAAATGTTAAATTGTGCATACTGTGCTAAATTCCTTATATCTTCAAAAGAGTTACCCTTAAAAGCATTGCTCCTGAAAGTTTCCTTATATGCTTTGAGATCATGTGAAATAAACTTAATTGCTGTAGACACTGATAACCTATTGTACCCTCCAGGATCATATAGTTATTTCAGAGACACATTCATCAATTCCTGGAGCTTTGACATTATAATGTAAACAATAGAATATTATTTGAGTGAATAATATATCTTGCAGCATTCAAACTTTCTAAAATGTACTGTTGATAATGTTTATAGTTTCAAAATCATTTTCAAGCCATTCACTATGTTTTCTAGGAATAATATCAGGAATGCAATATTTATTAACATATTGGATGAAATGACACCCCATAATACTGGTATTGTGTGTGTTTGTATGTATATATGTATCTGTGTATGTATCCGCTATCCAACATAAACTAAGACCTCAGAATTTATTGTCTCTAATTTCCCATAATCTGCCACTGATTTAGAGCTACATTTAGACATGTAAACTCTCTTCCAATACACATGACTGACTCATTCATTTCAGAAGCAAGTTGTCTCTAATAGCAATAGATAAGAAGGCTGTTCACTAGGTAAAATGGGTGGTGGCTGCTGTGAGGATTTCTTCCTGCCACAAATTTGGGTGATAGTAACATTAATATATTTGGGTAATAGTAAGATTCACAGAGGGATAGAATCAAGATCATGTGAAGTATTAGTACTGCTTTATAAGACCTTCATAAGACCACACTTAAATACTGCATCCAATTTTGATCACCACGATATAAAAAAGATCTTGAGACTCTGGAAAGAATACAAAGAAGAGCAGCAAAGATGATTAAGGGGCTGGAGGCTAAAATATATGAAGAACAGTTGCAGAAATTGGGTATGGCTAGACCAGAGAAAAGGACTGAGGGTGACATGATAGCATTGTTCCAATATTTGAGGGGCTGCCACAAAGAAAAGGAGGTCAACCTATTTTCCAAAGCAGCAGAAAGCAAGACAAGAAATGATGTAAACTAATCAAGGAGAGAAGCAATCTAGAACTAAGAGAAATTTCCTAACAATGAGAACAATTAACCAGTAGAACAGACTGCCTTCATAAGTTGTGGGTGCTCAATCACTGGAGGCTTTTAAGAAGAGACTGGACAGCCACTTGTCTGAAATGGTATAGGATCTCCTACTTGAGCAGAGGGTTGCACTAGAAGACCTCCAACATTCCTTCCAACTCTGTTATTCTGTTATGAACATTTTTACTGCAATTGTTAAGTGAATACTGCAAATGTAAAAGGAATGGCATGGTCATTAACCACATGCCATACAGTATTTGTTAAGTGAACCAATTATTTGCTATGAGGTGTTTTTTGCTGGAAACATGAAGTGAACCTCAATTTCTGGCAAAAACATCATAAATCATGGTCACACGACTGCAGGACACAGCAAACAGTTCTAAATGTGAGTCAACTGCAATAACATTACCTTTGGGGGTGAGGTGGGGGGCAATTGCCAGAACTTCAAATCTGAGACATAAATTCAACCCTGTGATTAGGACATTTTGTTGTTTCAGAAACTCTCCATACTATTAGAAGGTTGCTGTTGCAGTTTCTTTCAGATGTAGCTTCTTACTGGTGTATCTTTCTCTTGCTTTCTTTTAGAATAATGCTGCTTTCTGGCTATGGTTTGGGAGGAATTAGCATTAGAGATTTTCTCTAGCCTTACTAGTTATGACAGTGCAGCCATTTGCTGGAAAGGAGAAAAAAATAGAGCCCTTAACACTAAAAATTTGGCCAATCATGCAAACTGTTGGTAGATTGGATGTTCTTCTAACCTGCTATTTTGTATTCTTGTTTTGATGATTTATTACTTCCTGATTTTAATTCTTTTGGCATTTCTGAGGGACAAGCTTTAATATAAAGTAATTCCTTGGAAATGCATTAAAGAATGATATATAAATTGATCCACAGGATTCTTAATAAAGGGCTCTGGTGATGGAGTAAAACCTGCCTTTTTATTATAGGTCTTTTTACTTTAATTTGAATATAAGGGGGTGGAAGCAAATTATACTACAAATTCTTAATAAAGTGAACAGGTACAGACTGTGGCTATTAACCTTGCCCTTCTGACACTCTGCCTTGCTGCATTAACACTGATGGTGTCAGAACAAGATGAATAGATGAATTGTGAATATGGTCTTGTATTCTGTCCAAAAAAGTTGGAATGAATTTCAAGGAACCTTATATCTTTCTTACTTACTTGTTTATTTGTTTGTTTATTGCTTGCCTTTATTACTTTTACCAATAATTCATTATGGTGAAAATATGCAACACATCTTCTTCCTCCTATTTTCCCCACAACAACCTGTGACATGAGTTGGACTGAGAGAGCGTGACTAGCCCAAAGTCACCCATCTAGCTTTTATGGCTAAGCAGAAACAGAACTCATGGTCTCTTGCTTTCTAGCCTGGTATTTTAACCATTAGACCAAACTATCCCTCCCTCTCTTTATTCTTTATTAAACTCTTCTTTTAGTAGGCATATTTAACTCATCTAAGAAAAAAATTATAGGAAATGTACTGTTAAGGTAAGAGATAACACAGGCAAGAAATAAAATTGCAAAATAAAATACACAAAGAGCACTTTAAATGAAAAATGCAAAAGGTCTGAGTGAAAATGATTTAGGTGAAAAGATTTATTTCTTAATAAGAGAGAATATAGAGGCTAAGCATAATTTCTGAGATATTGTTTGGAGAAATAAAAGGTCCTGCCCTACCCTATCAAAAAATAATCATCTAAAACTAAAAAAATCTTTAAGAAGACTTCCCCCTTTGACTGTAATGTTCAGATGGATTCTTCTCTTGATGAACAGAGAATCAGACCTTAATTATTCAGGCTATCCTGATATGATAATTATCCTTGTAGAGGGTAGAGAACCAAGGAATTTGCAATAGTGATGAGAGTGAAGTTTCTTTTTCTGAGCTTGTGGGTTTGTTTCCGAACATTTCATTATCATTCATATTTGTAAACCAGCCTACAAGCTCAGAGAACGAACCTTTACCCTCAACAAGGAGTTCTTTAGAAATTAAAACAAGAATTGAATTGCAGTTGGAAAACTACTGGCAAAGTATCAATGCAGTCATAATGCAATCCAATATTGTGTACCACTTAGTAAGCCAGCAATAGCATTTCTCATGAATTGAACCTGCTAGCAAGGACAGTCCCATATAAAACATCTTGATGTACTTTAGTTGATATCATGGTATAGTTATTCATTTGCACATTAACTGATTCAGAAATGGCTACAGCTGGTATAATAGAGACAAGTGTCTTTCTAGCCACTCTTGGCACCAGGAACACAAAGATGGCAAAAAAGCATTTAAAATGTGGACTTGTTATTTCAGAGGGATTCAGGTCCATTCCAAGAATGCTCCATTTTTATGAATTTAATGTTCAATCAATTAAATTGGAATTGGATGAGTAGACAATCAATCTAGTTGGGTATTTATAGGCATGTGCACCTCATTCATTGCCCAGCACTTTTTGAATAGATCAATTAGAGGGATAGAAAAGGCTAAAAGTCACAATATCAATTATAATCCTGAATTACTCTGTCCCCAGTCCAGCAGAATTGGGTTACATGTTCTATTGGATTCAGAAGGAAAGTTCACAGAGTATGAGTACTTTACTCCAAGCCAGAATAAGAAATCTGCACAATAAATAACATGAAAGGGCAAAGCATATTCATGAATACTGAAGATCCCATAACATTCCTTCTACCAGTCAGAGAACCCCACAGAAATGAAGGTAGACAGATGCCTCCAAAGTCATCAAAACTGCAGTACCATCACAGTTAAGTTTGCAAAGTTCATTCTATGAGAGTTTTTGACTAGCTTATAGAAAGCTTTGATCCTTATTACCCTCCTTTTCAATGCTTTCATTTCCTTGAACTTTGCCAAAAATAAGTTCTTCTTATCTTGTGCTTGGAATGCTTTATCTGTTTCTACTGAAAATGAGATTGTCAAATGAAGACGTATTTGTTTATAGCAAGTGGTAAATACACCTTTCAAAACTAAGGAATATTTCTTTCTCAAGGCTTTGAAATGAAGCTGAGAAAGGTCACCCTACTCTGTACTGGTATTCCAAGAATAGGGCAACAAATATACACACACCATTAACTAAGCATAATTCTTTGGTAACTAAAATAATTGCTTGTATAATTTTGCATTACATACTTAATCATGGGAAGATAAAGTTTTATATACCTAAGGGAAAGGTAAACATCATTATCTAATTTATCCTTGTCAATCTGGCAAAACCATCAGAACTACAGATTCCCAAGCATCAGTTTCTGGATTCAACATAATAAGAAGGAATGGAAATCCAACAACTGGTACAAAATGGTATCAAAATGCCAGGAAGTCCAAGATAATGTGATTGATGGCATAAAAAAATCTTTAAGAGACTAATGAAAACCAGAGAGATAGTGTTCCCACCTTCTACTTCTCATTGCAAATTTGTACCATGTCCCAAAAAGGTTCAAGTATTCTCATTATCTTATCCTCTTAAAAAGCTTAATCACAATAGTTAATCTCAGAAAGTATATAATCTATATCTTTTAGTTGTAATGGAAATTGTGATATCATCACTTTCTCTGTTACTTGATCCAAAATGTACACTTGAGGCTAGTTTATAATGTTCCATTTTGCCCGAGTCTAGTATTTACTGTAGTTTAATTTAAATAATATATACATAATATTAGATTTTTACTCCTTGCCATTTTTCACAAATTCATGCACACTTGTTTATGTCTTGATAGCCTTGCTCTGATTACAGTCTTATTGTGCTGAATGTTGTCAAAAACAGAAATGTGCTTAATTTGTAAATTCTACTGACCGATTATCTACTGAAAACGGAAGACAGAAAAGATGAACTGCATACCACAATGCCGAAGTAAAATTCATTTAGAATTGTGCCAACATTTTGGAAAGCAGCAAAAGCTGAATCTTTAACTGGTATCTTAACAGGAGAACATCAATTTTGTTTCAATATTCAGTGATGATTTCATAATTGTATGTAAACATAATAAAATCATGTTGGATTAGATCAATTACCTATTTCATTTAAATTTCAATCTTCACACTATGATGGAAACTAGAATATTTTTTCATTTTTGAGCAATTGATAAATCTTATTATTCTCTATTTTCAACAGACCATTAGATTCCTGTTCTATCCACAGACAAAAGGACTATGTAGGATATACACATCTGCTGATTGTGTTAGCTTTCAAAAAAAAAATAAACCTCAGTTGGATTTCCTAACTACATGTAACAGACTGAAAACTGACTGGAGCCCTTTATTTTACCCTTCAAAGTGATTCCCTTTCCTGGAATACATTCAGTAGTGGGATTCAACCAGTTTGTATCAGTTCAGTGAACCGGTAGCTAATATTT